GATAGTTTAATCCTAATTACAGTTGGAATTATCCCCCTTGACTTATCTGGAATGGAGGTCATCCGCAACGAAACGACCGGGTTATTAATTATACAAAACCTGAAGTCGCTAATTATCCTTCATAATCTTTTGCAATCTGATCAGTAATAAATATTCGCTTGAATGAAAGGGATGACTTCGGGACGATTTAAATAGATCTCAATATTTCCTTTTTTTATTCTGGAAATTAAATTCTAAAACAATAATTTTAAATTATTAAGGGAAAAAAAATAAATGTGTTGGACGTTTATCTGGATAAAACAATATTTCCTATTTAGCGTAAATTGGTACACAAAATAGTACGCGAAATCGTAAATTAAGTAAAAGGCATCAATTCTGTCCCTGAGCTTAAAGGTCCGCCATCCTCCACATAGTTAAAAGCGCGCTTTCATGTTACCCCTGCTAAACAGATTCTAACGATATTTTTATAAGTTTTTACCCATTTTTTAAATTCCTCCTTCATATGTAAATAAATGTATTTAAATCAACCTGTCCATAACATGGGAAACCCTATGCTTTTGGGATAAATGTAGTGATGTTTTCCTATAACAACTGTTATATGCTACTTACATATTTGGTAGTTCATGGGCTATGTTTTATTTCGATTACCAACCGTAGAAACAAGATGCTGCCTGACTTACACATCGACACAAACTATAAAGATTATCGCTAGGAATTAGTGGACTTGTGAGTAATAGTCACAATACCAATACCAACCTCACGTGTACGTCAAAGCATGCGCACTCTAGATTTCTGTTGAGTTTTTTTTATTTATTTATCATCTTCATTCATTATAAAAACATAATAAATTTGGTTGAGAGTGCAGTGTCTGATTACTTCTATGAATGTGATACAAGTTTCATTTCTTCATGTATTAGGGCAAATTTATCATTTTTATAGAGATATGTTTTACACCTGTCATATACTGGAAGGCAATAATGACAAGTAACCCCTGTAAGCTAGGAATGGTGCTTGATAAACTACATCTAACTATGTAGTATTTACAACAGATAATAATATGATTTATTATTGGTGGAGCCCCAAGTCTACCAAGCATTATTTCTTCCATTGTTAGGGTGACCCACCATAAATAAATATCTCCATATATCTCGACAATTACGCCACAATATTTATATATATGCCAAGCCTCAAATCAGTTTCACACAATTATAGTCACTAAATAAACGATCATGTTGTACTTAATAAGCTATGACCATTAATCATGTATAAATAATAGACTGAAAACTGGTTCCAAGAGTCGTCCATAACATCCAGACACTTTTGAGTAAAAGATAGGTTACGTGCCCTTGTTTTGAAATTAGTCTCGCTTAACCAGTCTATCGACCATTCTACGTCTGATTGACAGGTCGGGATAATCAAGACTACTTTTTTACGAAACGTAACAGAAAGCTAGAACAAGAAATTGAATTTAGAAATAAGCACGTTAGGTAGCTCAACAATCGTTTTAAGAAGCCTGTAAAAGTAAAATGAAACTACTGCTAGTATCATGTTCCTGCCTAACCCGAGTGATTCAGAGATATTATTTGTACTAAACCAAAAGATGCCGCTCTTAACGGTACAGTTAATGATAAAGCGATTTAAAAAATGAAACGAACGTAATTTCTAAATCTGCTGTAATAACCAAGAAGCTTAATTTAACTGCTATTCAAAATCGTCAACAATAATTTTTTTACGGCTGTAATAGTTGATAGATTTGTAGAGAATTGCACGTGCCATGGCTATTTATAGTATCATACTGTCAGAAAGTTGGTCTCGGCACGGCGAATGTGCACGCTTCAGTGGTAGTCTCGAACTATCAGCGGTGGACTGTATTTCTGTGAGTACATGGGTCACCCTACCATTGTTAAGTTGGCATCTTCATATTCAATAGTTGTCAAATACTTGGAAGCATCATTCCATAGGTTTTTTTTAAGGATATCTACATTGATAGTAGAGACGTTCTATCGTTCTCATTTCCTCTAAAAATATCATTTATATTTCTAACTCCCCTTTTTTCTTTACCAATCTTTAAATTAAAATAGAATTTTATATTAGCATTAAACCGAAGAAGCAATGGAGGAATTTAAACCAGGGGTTTGACTCTCCTTTATGGATTAGCTTTAGTATACAAAGTTTATGTTAGTTTTAAAGCTTTAGTAAAGTTAATTATTTCTGATAGCTTTAAGCTACTTGATTTTCAATTTTCTCAAATATTGTGTTTTCTGGATTTGGTAACACAATCAGAACGTGATTGATATTTGGTATATTAAGACTTTTAATTACCAGCACCTTTCCAATTAGCGTTATTTTACGAGCATTCCATATTCGACATAAAATTTCGATTTCTTTTAATTTTGGACTGATATTAATTTCAATTATAATTTCATTTAGTTTCGTGCTTAGAAGAAGTAATTCCTAATGATGTAAATCGATTTCTACTGCACACAAATTCAAAGTTATTGCATAATTTCTGCCTGGACTCGGTTTCATTACCTATCCAGATTGCAACTGTTTGTTCTGCATTTTCCCTTAGTCCTGACATTTTAAAGAATAATTTATGTGTACTCATGGTTTGTATTAAAGATTCCTAGCTACCATCTAGAAACAAAGTAGTATCATCTCGGTATTGAAATATTTTATATTCTTGATTAAATATTGTTATTTCCTTAATGTTTTTTGTCTGACCATAGCGCCGAGAATTTCCACACATAGTAAGAAAATATACGGGGAGAGGGGATCGCCCTGGCGGTTTCCTCTGTCCAGTTTAAAACTGTGTGATATAAACCCTCTTTGAGTGACAGATGATACTGAGTTTTTATCCACTTTTCAATTGAAGGCCCAAAGTTGAAATAATTAAACATACATTATGCAAGAGCTAAATCTGTCTATTGCAGGTCTTTCTTTAGGCCTGAAATGTTATCTAAATTATTAATGAGACATTAATTAACCTATGCAGACCATAATCAATTATAGATGGCATCGCTAGCCTGCGATCTTTAGTGGATTATGAGCCGATTTACTGCATAACGTTCCTTCACGATTTAACGATTAAATGGATAATCGAGACTATGTTGTTTATCGTACTGACTTTAGTAATGATGATCAAGGCTAGCCGGAAATTTCAACGGCTTAGTTCTCGGTTCATAGTGGATCAATTTGAATGAAATTTTCAGCAAATTGCCTTTACATTATCCAGTTTTTAACTATTATAGTGAGAACTGCCAACTCGTTATCGAATCTCCCATAATGTATGTTTATCAATAAACTTCCCCGAAATGTTTTCGAATGCCTTTGCAAAGGCCATTAAGAGGACCATACCATTCAGATTTTGTTTCTTTGTTTCAATAGTTTGTCATATAATATAACAGTAAATTCTCCAATGTACCCACCGAAAATAAAACCATTTTGTTTTTCATGGATTATACTTTCAAGGACATTTCAAATCCGGTTTGCAATACAAGCTGATATTTGTTTATAACAAGTGTAATTGGTCTCCAGTATAGTTAAGTTAGTTTTTATATTTCCCTGGTTTTGGTAGGCATGTAATCATGCGTTGATTTTGTGTTAAGAGATAATTCTCCAATTTGGTACGAATACTTTATTAACCTATGTAATACTTGGCTAATATCTTTCCAGAAGAATTTACAAGATTCGGGAGTGAAGCCATCCAGGAACTTAACTTTTGTTATTTTTTATAGATTTCATTGTATTCCATAGTTCAATGTAAGACATTGGACCTTCAGTAGATTCACTATCTATTTTATACGACCTCAATATCAACCGCTTAATCTTGCACGTCAAAGCATGCGCACTCTGGTTTTCGGAGGTTGTGGTTATTGAAGTGGTGAATATAGGAGGTCAACATCCCCCCCCCTAATGACTGTATAGAAGGTGATACTATATGGTTACTTGTATAGGTATTTTTTACTTCAATATGCTTACATTCATATTTCTTGTAACATATAGCAGATCATGCCTCATGCTGGCATTACTTAACGGTTTCTCTGGGTTATATTCCTGATTGTTTTCAAATTTGAGTGAAATCTGTATCACTACAGGCCCGGGACTGTACAGCGCAGTGGACGCTTACGCTAGCCCCCGGATGCATTCACTTAATTTGATATGTTCGTTTGTTTGTGATTTCCGCGTATTGTTTCTTGTCCGTGGATTTGTCTCTGTGTAAATGATGTGTGGTGCAGTCCCAGCACTTACTATTAAAAAATCAATATTTGCTATTCAAGATATATCCTGGAGACGTGTAATACTATAGAAATCTCATATTGACCAGAAAGCGGCCAATATAAACCAAGAAGAGGTCTTTTAGATTATCGACCTGAACGCGCCCAATGTCAACTAAAGGAGAGCTCTAGTCCCCTTTTAGACTCGACAAAGGCAACACCCATCGACTATATCTCAACAGGTACTGGATGTATTGATGTACCAATCTGTGGAATCCACTCGTATATATATGTATACAAATCAAAAATTTAATTGTATGGGTGGTAATGGTTTCAGCCTTAAAAGACATCGACTAATACTTAGAACAACACTTGTTTATATTTGTCAATACCAGTTGAGTAGCTCTAATGAGGGTAGAAAAAGAAAAATCGGTTGTCAACTTGTTGAAGACAAAAAGCTTAATACACTGAGATAAATAGTTAACCATCCTGTGTTAATCGATATTATTAATGACGTCAGGGTCATGCGCATTCATAACGATGGCACTTCCTACTTCAGTAAAGTTATTAGTGGTATTTAGCTTAGATATAAGACAATTATCAGAAAACTTAGATGAGCGAAACTTAATGATTGGTATCTATTATTTGCATCGTATTCTAAACATGTTGTTTAGCATCTGAACAAAAGTGGAGTTTATTGGGTCGGCGTTCCATAACAGCTTATTTTGTAGTAGATGCGTGTCAGAACTACATTACTTGGAAGTCATATCATCGCAGATAACAATGGAAAACACAACTTTAATTAGCGCTAATTCTTCAATTATCACAAATATGAGCAGTAACGAACATTCGGGCAACACATCGACTTCCTGGCAAAAGATTTTATTGGGAACAATTTTATATATTGTAGTATTTATTACAATTGCTGGAAATGCTTTAGTGCTTATTGCTGTTTACAAAGTGAAAAAATTACAAACAGTGTTTAATTTCTACATAGTTAACTTAGCCGTAACAGATATCGGCGTTGCATCAACTGCTATGAGTTTCTATACGATTGACAATATTTTAGGATATTGGCCATTTGGTGAGTTTATGTGTGGATTGTGGATATTTTGTGACTATGGTATGACCTTTGCTTCGGTTTTTACTTTGTTGGTCATCTCTGTTGACCGTTTTTGGTCAGTTTCCTGGAGTGTTCATTATCGCGCTAACCACAACAAACGAAAATCTGTAATAGCCATAATTTCCGTTTGGTAAATATTAGTTTTTATTATATCTTTTACTGTATAAAACCAGTTCTTATTATGTCAACTTCAGTTATGTTTTTATTACATCATTTACTGCAACTTCACTTCGTTTCTATTACATCTTTTACCCCAACTTTACTTTATTACATCTTTTACTTCAACTTATCTTTATTACGTCTTTTACTTCAATTTATCTTTATTACATCTTTTACTTCAACTTTACCTTATTTTACATCTTTTACTTCAACTTCACTTTATTACATCTTTTACTTAACACCACTTTTACTCCAACTTCGGTTAGTTTCTATTACATCTTTTACTCCAACATTGCTTTATTTTGTCTTTTACTCCAACTTACCTTTATTACATCTTTTACTCCAACTTTGCTTTATTATGTCTTTTACTCCAACTTCAACTCAAACTTTGCTTTATTATGTCTTTTACTCCAACTTACCTTTATTACGTGTTTTACTTACATCAGTTAGATTTAGCAGCACATAAAATGGCATTAGGTTAGATACAAAAGTTGATTATAAGAATTTTCCATATGCAAAAGATGTCAGTTACGAAAAAATTCAATGGATTTGTTAAATTTTTTGTTTTACACCTTATTTGGGGCTATACTATATACTGGAAAACACCGGAAAACGACCGGAAACCCCCATGTTATACTGAATACCGGAAATACACTAAATACCGGAAAACACACTAAATACCGGAAAACACTTAATACCGGAAAACACTAAATACCGGAAACACCCTAAATAGGTAACCCGGAGAATACTATAAACCGGAAACTAGCCCTAACCCAGGCACACAGAGGACCAGGCTCCCGGTTACCTATTTAGGGTGCCAGTCTCCGGGTTACCTATTTAGGGTATTTTCCGGTATTTAGTGTGTTTTCCGGTATTTAGTGTGTTTTCCGGTATTTAGTGTTTTTCCGGTGTTTTCCGGTTGTTTTCCGGTATATAGTATTGCCGCCTTATTTGCATACCTTCAGTTTTTTTTATATATAAACAATATTTTTATTCAGGATGTCTGAATGGGATTGGGGAACAGGCTTAGCCTATGTAAAACCACTCTCAGTTATGAAGATGTACTGTTCCAAAATACGATATCGGGACCTTTAAACTAAAAGATCTTTGGATACGGAATTTTATTGGCTGGAGTTTAAAATTGATATTGAAATTTTATTGGCTGGAGATTAAAATTGAAATTAAAATTTTAAGTCTTATCTTATGGAAAATGTGTATTCCTAAAATATTCGTAATAATATTCTTGTAGCCACCATCCATATTTGAGCTCGTTATTAGTATTAGAGACTAATAAGATGCATGTAACTTAGATTTGTCCATGCACTGGGCATCACAACATCAAAATAACTAAATTAAATGTTTATTCAAATTTTCGCCTCTAAAGGTTGAGATTCTTTCGAATGTTCCTTATTGAAACACGTCTAGTTTGTATGTTCAAGGCACATGTTGTGAATTTTGACCCGGCGTCCACCACTGCTTAGAACCATAATTTTCAGTGTGCATTTTTGATGCACCGTGTGTTAGAGGTACTGCAAGGGACACACTCAGCTGTTGTTGCTATCCTGTTTAGTAAAAAGAACAATTATCAATTATAATAACATTATGAGAACCAACTTGGACTATTCAACCTACCCCCAACCCCGCCCACGAATAGTGTCGGTATAAAAGATTGAAAACTTGGATAAACGCGTTTGGCCGTAAACAATGTATTTTATCTTATTGTCCCCCGCCTTTCGAAGAAAGCAGGGGACTATTAAAATGGGTTCGTCCGTCTGTCTGCCTGTCCGTCCATAATTGAGCTAGAATGTTCTAACTTGGTGTAGGAGTTTATTAGGTCAATGCCTTGATGAAGTTCGAAGATGAGCATTTTCTGCCTAGGGTAAGCAGAGATAAGCAATTTGATTGATTGATGCCTTGGAACACAATAACTTTAGTTCTAATTAAGTGAGAGTGGGGAAACTAGGTGTATAGTTTCATTACATGAATACCTTGAATAAGTTCGATAATGAGCATTTTCTGCTCAGGGAAACCAGAGCGATAAGTAATTTGATTGGTTGAGACTTTGGAACACAATAACTCTCCTTCCAATTGAGGTAGAATGTTCAAACTTGGTATTGGTGGGTATTAGGTCAATGCCTTGATGGAGTTCGAAGGTGAGCATTTTCTGCTTGGGGTAAGCGGAGATAAGCAATTTGATTCGTTGATGCTTTGGGATACGATAACTTTAATTCTAATTAAGTGAGAGTGGTGAAACTTCGTGTATAGTTTCATTATATCAATTCCTTGACTAAGTTCGAAGATGAGCATTTTTTGCTTTGGGGTAAGCAGAGATATGTAATTTGATTGGTTGATGCTTTGGGACACGATAATTTTAGTTCTAATTGAGAGAGAGGGCACTTGGTGTATAGCTTTATTACATCAATACTTTGACTAAGTTCGATAATGAACATTTTCTGCTGAGGGTAAGCAGATCGGTAAGCAATTTGATTGGTCGAGACTTTGGAACACAATAACTCTCTTTCCAATTGAGGTAGAATGTTCACACTTGGTGTAGGCGTTCATTACCTTGACTAAGTTCGATAGTGAGAACTTTCTCGTTAGGCTAAGGAGCGATAAGCAATTTGATTGGTTAAGACTTTGGAACATAACATTTCTGCTTTTAATTGAGGTAGAATGTTTAAACTTGATGTAGATGTTCATTAGGTGAATGTTTTGATTGAGTTCCATGATTAAAATTTCCAGCTGAAGCTAAGCATTGCTAATCAATTGTTATCGCATTCGCGCTGTATCATTGAGTCAACTGGCGTGGTTTCAATTCGCCGGTTGTACGTGACAAGGAATAGGGCCGCCTGTCCATTCTCGTGGGGTTTTCCCGGGTCCTCCGGTTTCCTCCCACTGCTAAAGACCCCTACGCACAAGAGAAGTATTGAAATAAAGTTTGTGTTGAGAGGACGTTAAACCCCACCTCTCTCTCTCTATTTACATCATAATTGACTAATTAGATAATTGAAGGTCCAAAACCCAAAGCTACAAAACTATCATATTTAGGAGAATTCGTCAGACAGCAGCTTGTTTCTGGAAGGGAAATGATGTAGTAATTTCTATCAGCAGACCCGCCCCGCCGAGTCTGGCTGAATTGGGGTTGAGAGAATGACTTTATCTCTCTCTCTCTTTCTCTCTCTCTCTCCCGTCTTCATTAGCCCAGTATAGGAGCAGAACAGTAGGACGTTAAACCCATTTCATTTCTCTCTCTCTCTCTCTCTCTCTCTCTCTGTAATTACTAGCAAATCTTTATCCAAATCTTACATGATGCATTTTTAAGTCGGCTGAGCATTAGCAAAACGCGACTGAAATTGGAGTACACATGTAGCTGTGGAAAAAGTGGTTTAAGCTTATATGTTGAATAGCTTCTTTTAACCTACATAAGTACATTAAAAACTATTTTTAGCCGTTTGCTGTTTCATTTGACTGCCTAATGTTAATACGACTAGACTCTTATTCACCAGTTTGACAGAACATAATAGTCTAAATAACATTCCAATCGACACCGTATTTAATTTTTAAATGATTACCAGACAATTAGATATATTAAACAATCGATTGGAACCAGTCTATTTAATTAATTAAATTCCAGAGTATCTGACATTATTATAACTGAAAGTTGGGTTAATAACTATTGCCAATAATGATTGTATTAAACAATTGTTCTACATATTTCTAGAACTGTATAGGGTAACTTCCGAGCACAATACACAATGACCATGTAATGTTTTTCATGTTATTGGATCTTGTGAAGCGATTGATGAAACCCAAATTTCCTCATGTAATTAAAATGCTACAAAGCCTTTAAAAAATTAATGATATTTGCTCGCCGGTTTATATAGTACAGGGACAAAGAAGTTACAAAATGTAATTTGTAAGCCTATTTATTTTTATTAGGATCTAATAACCAGCTTGTTGTATCTTGGAAACCGTGCGAGGGATTAGGATTATTCATTACAGCTTATTGATGTGGTTCTACAACATTAATTGCATCATAATGATGACTTCTAATAACAGTTTCCTTTAGCCAGTCGGAAACCACGGGATTCCATGTTAGAGAAAGTTCAGCGCGGATTGCCAGCGTGGTCTGCCCTTACCAACCTTGTCAGTGGTGCAGGACACATCTCCTGACAAGGGATGGTGTATAGTCGTTCGCAGAGGACGAAATACCGAGGTCCCGTGTACAAATTGACACGCATGTAAAAGATCCCTTGGCAGTTCGAATTCGATTTACAAGAAGGCCGTAGAAAGGCTTCCCGGAACAAAATGCCCAACAGCACGCTGTATGGCGCATGCCCGTCTTCATTAGACCATTCGTTGCAGAACAGTAGGACGTTAAACCCCAAGTCATTTATTTAATTATATAGCCCGGAGCACAAAGTATGTGCATATAAATGAATATATTCCCGACTTAAATGGACAGGATTATGCCTACTCTATTTGTTAAGACCAGCTCAATGTTTGTCAATGTCGCTGAGATGTAAATAAGGTTACAGAGAGAGAAATATGGTTTAACATCCAAATGACACAAACTAGGTAATTTTGGGACTAACAGATGATTCAGATGGTTCAGTTTCATTAACAAAAAGTATCTCTGTAGATGAGGAAGGGAACTGGGGGGCCAGGAGAAACATCCGTGCTTCCGATTAAAACCACGTCACTTGTATCAGTGAAACACTTATGTTCTAAGGCACTCGCCTTTCACTACCCTCCTCCTCCGTTCTTGTTTGAATTTAACTGATAAGTGAATTTGTACCATAGTATATTTGTTTAAATAGGAAGGGGACTGGGTGGCTGAATGGTTAACGCGTGCGCTTTTGACCAGAACGTCTGTCATTGAGTGAAGTGGCGTGGTATCGATTCCACGAATTAAATGACAAGGATTCGGTTCGCCTGTCCAACCTCGAGGGCTTTCTCGCGGCCATCTGGTTTCCTCCCACTGCCATTGACTCTTATTTTAATCCCGAAATGACCTACTTGATGACGAGTGGACGTAATACCCCCCCCCCCCTGTGTCACTTGTTTGGTTAATTATATTAATGTTTTATGTTTTACAGGGCTGTCATGGTGGCTTTATGGTTACCAGCTTGTATAGTGGATCGAGTTAAAAATGCTGCAGATAAGGTGTGCATTTGGGAACCATCATTAAATCCAGAATATGTTTTTGTTATAGCCCTGATTGGTCATCATGGCGCATGTTTTGTTTTATTGTTCTGCTATCTGCAAGTGTTCTTCTTCATGAGGAAAAGGGCCAAAATTGGGCCCATTGGCAGTAAGAAGATGGCTGCCCCCGGGTCAAACAGTGAAATGAGTGTAACACCCACAATACAGAACTGTGCTAGTCCAACAGAAAAGTCAAATCCAACAGGGTCTACCACTCAGTCTTTACAAGTCCCAAACACTAACAAAAGTGGAAATAAACATAACACTGACGATAAAATCGATTCGTCTGAAAAACGTGAAAGGAAAGTGTTTGTGACTCTGTCTTATATTTTGTTTGGTTACGTCATTTGTTGGGTTCCTTTTCATATTGTTTTTGATGTTAGCGCCATCAAACCAGATGCTGTTCCGCAAGTTGTTTTTACTATAACTTTCTGGATGACATATTTAAACTCGGCCATTAATCCATTTCTATACAATTTCAGCAGCCCCGAATTCAAAAGTGCATTTAGAAAAATTATGTTCAGGAAATAAGTGTTTTGTTTTTTTGCTTTAGAATATTTATTTCAAACAAAATGTGCAGCAAAACAAACGTTTTTGAGATATTAATATTAATATTATATCAAGTTTACGGATGATTAGATGATTTCTAGGAAATCCAGTTGTTCAACATCTTGGTAATTAAACCACGACGATCATAACAAACATATCTAAAACAAAGGAAGCAAATGGAGTTTTAGTGTACATTTCTAATACGAGTTTGATAATGTAATTAATAAGTTTCTAATTTCTATTACGAGTATAATCATATAATTAATGAATGTCTTTTTTTAATTACGAGTATGGTAATATAGTTAATAGATGCCTTTTTTATATTAAAGATACATTATGCAAGATTTAGATAAAGAGCTGTAATAGTTCCAGAATAGATAATTGAAAACTAATATATTGAAAATTTCATTCAAATTACTTTATTCCGAATCAAGTTATCACTGTATAATTTGTTTAATTTAGTAGCAACGTTACGAGTTAAATTAAATCCTTAAATGGCAATCATATTTTAATCTGTTTACATCAGCACCATCCGATAATCTAGAGAGTTGATTACAGACTACAGAGTTGTCATGTGAATAAATGTCTAAATAATGATTTATTTAACATTTGAAGCCTAAATAAAAGTCTATAATAGGCAGATTTAGCTCTTACATAACCCATCATTAAGATTTTTTAAATTCGCTTAGCTGCATCCGAATGACCATACGTTGTCCCTTGCAAGGGCCTCCGTTCTAAAACACTGGCAAGGGGTACCATCTCGGAAAACCCCAATGACCGAACACGGGACCCCAGATTAGCGAACCAACGTCTTACTCGGCGCACCACCGGGGCTGACTTTCCTTCTTTCCTTGCGGAAGTCCAGTGTTTATAGACAAATGCACATATCTGTAGAAAATTTAGTGGACATTTATTGTGAGCTATCATATATACTCAGCCAAATTAAAAACTTGACACTGATGAATTTCAACAATTTTTTTTTCTGGTAAGTCAAATAAATTCTAAAGTGTTTCTAACGATAGTAAGTAGTAAGAAGCGCATCTTTTCCCGGTAAGATCACAACATCAATGTTGATTTAAATTGACAAATAATTCGTGTTTGCAATGTCCGAAGATTTTAGATGATATTGAGTTAGAGACTTAGAAGTGAACCATATGGATGAGCCCTTCTAATTAGCTTACAGGAAGAGTCACATAAACGAAACAGCTTTGCTTTATGTATATAATGATATAAATCTTACTTGATGTATACTCAGCCAAATTAAAAACTTGACACTGATGAATTTCAACAAATTTTTTTTTCTGGTAAGTCAAATAAATTTTAAAGTGTTTCTAACGATAGTAAGTAGTAAGACGCCTTTAATTTCATAAAATTGTAAAGTCACGTGGATCACGTGACTTTTGAGCATATAAAGATGAAAAACCTGAAAAACACGTGCAAACACAAACTCGTGAGGTCAATGGATGCAAGTTTGCTTAAACTGAACACGCACACGTAACTTAAACTGGAAAAACAAATTAGAATTGTTATTTTCATCTTTGTTAGAAAATGCCGCGCCTTTCAAATGTAGAACGTCTACGTGCTATAGGTAGTCTCTATGCTGGTCAGTCTGTGGTCACTGTTGCAAGAGCCTTTAATTGTTCACGCCAGACAATAATTAATCTTAGAATGAGAGTGCTTCAAACTGGAACTATAATGGACCAATATTGGCACCTCTTCATCGCCGTAACCGAATTGTGTGAGCCACAAGACACATAAGATTTACTCAAAGACAGTGGAATTCGGTTGTCTTTAGTGACGAATCTCGATTCACTTTGAGATTTGCCGATGTTAGGGCCCGAGTGTACCGCAGACGAGGTGAACGTTACGCACAAGTATGCGTCAGAGAAGTAGACCGATTTGGTGACGGCAGCGTCATGGTTTGGGGTTCTTTTTGTGCACATGGACGTTCTCCTCTTGTTGTTGTCCAAGGGAACTTAAATGCTGTCCAGTACAGGGATCAGATTTTGCAACCTGTTCTTCTTCCGTTTATGCAGAGACATGGGTCTGGACTAACGTTTCAACAAGACAATGCTCGACCCCATACATCAATTGCTACCCAGAATTTTGTTAAGAAATGCCGGTGTCCAAGTCCTGGATTGGCCGTCGCTTAGCCCCGACCTTAATCCTATTGAACACATCTGGGACGAACTGGGTCGACGTGTTCGTCAGCAAGTGAATCCACCACTGACGTTGCAGGACCTTCAACATGCTCTTGCTGAGCAGTGGCGACGTCTTCCTCGGGTAGTGTTTACTAATGTTCTGAGATCCATGAGAAGACGTTGTGTGGCAGTACGAGACGCTAGAGGAGGCCACAACCGTTACTAAACACTTTATTCCGATTGTTCTCCAAGTCTGTGAGTTTGAACGTCATCAGTTAGACACTTATCACGGGTTCGAACGTCATCAGTTAGACACTTATCACGGGTTCGAACGTCATCAGTTAGACACTTATCACGGGTTCGAACGTCATCAGTTAGACACTTATCACGGGGTTGAACGTCATCGGTTAGACACTTATCACGGGTTCGAACGTCATCAGTTAGACACTTATCACGGGTTCGAACGTCATCAGTTAGACACCTATCACGAGTTTGAACGTCATCAGTTAGACACTTATCATGATCACGCGAGTCTCAGTGGCTGCAGTTTCATCATTTATGTACAATCTGTGACTTTTGTTGAGGACTGTTGTTCTCTGTTTATAAACAGTCCACGGTGAATGCAGGTGACTGATGGGAAGTACACCATAAAACACCCGTTGCACCCAAGCATATATACCAGGGTAAATACATGTATTAATTGCGTCATTTTATACATTTGTGCTAATAACGACTTGTCGAATCTTGTTGAAACGTGTAATTGTTATCCATAAAATTGTTTTAATTGATTATGTTTCATTAACAAAATGCACGTTGGGGTTGTCTTGATTTCCATAATTTGTTCTTTGTCGTTTTGTTTGAATATGCCTGATTTGATTGATTGATATGGTGAAAAGTTGGAAAGTTGGACTTAAAGGACCTAAATCGCTAATATTTGGCACCGAGATATTGACACAAATGATTTGCAACGCATATAATAATGTAATATGAATGTATATAAACTAATTTACATTCGATGGTTTTCGTTTTTACTTTAATTTCCAATCAGTTATGTTAGGCGAAATACGTATCAATCGAATGGCAATATCTAGCGTCTGGTTATTCAAATCTACACCGATTTATTGCGATTGCACTCCAGATAAGAATATGACGTCACCGTTTGACATGACTTGTGGAATATTTCTAGCCTCGTTCTTCGAGTACCTACTTACAAATGGCACTTAAACGCATTATGGCACACCATTCGTGTACCAATGGTAAAATGTTTATTTTGTCTTAAATATTCGATATCAGAAGCCCATCTTTTCCCGGTAAGGTCACAACATCAATGTTGATTTAGATTGACAAATAATTCGTGTTTTCAATGTCGAAGACTTTGGATGATACTGAGTTAGAGACTTAGCTACTTTAAATCACTTTCAATTACTGATCGATCTTCTTCTTCACTAAGTTATAAATATGAGATCAACCGTCTCTTTATAATTGGAAGTAAAATACACAAATTGGCTAATGATGCCCTGAACAATAAGACATTATCAACAAAGAATAAATTTAATTGATTTTCATCATATCTTATTGACAGAACACAGGCAGTGATGGTGTTATCGGAAAGTTGATACCATGTCCGGTCAATTACTTTATACAACAGACGTTAAACGCGGGTATTTAGCCCGTGCTAGACAATTATCTAATGAAATTTATAGAACTAAGAGCAACTCAGGTAAGGTCTAACATGCGAGTCTTTGCTGTTCTTATACTATCAAGGGAATATCACATCAGCTTTAACATTACCACATTAGAAAAATTGGTTCAGTACCTCATTCCAAAGCAGCTGCTGCAGCAACTCTGACCCGATGTCTTATTCTACTGCAACAGGTTTCTATCAGGAATAGTGAACGAGAGAGAGGGGAGAAAGAGAAATATGCGGTTTAACGTCCACTCGACACAAACAAGTCATTTCGGCACTAACATATAATTCAATTTTATATCAATAATTCGCTTGCACGTAGTGGTCTTTAGCAGTGGGAGGAAACCGCAGGACCCGGAGAAAGCCCACGAGGTTGAGCAGGCGACTCTAATCCTTGTCACGTACAATCGGGAATCGAAACCACGCCAGTTGACTCAATGACACACCTTATGATAAAATGTGCTAACCATTCGGCCACCCATCCCCCACTAGTGAACGAACAACAAAATCGCATTCAAAGGATACAACATACAAAAGTTCGTGACCGCATATTGCCTGCTTTATCATTTCTTCATTGGTATTGTATCAATGAACTATTGTATTTACATTATTGTGTTTCACCTATCAGGTAGTTCACAAAACAGTAGCTATGTACCCCCAGGAACTTGTTTAGGACCATCTAGGAACCTTAGATCAAAATATAATTCTCCGCTGCAAGTACCAACTTACAATTTAAAAACGTTTGGAGCAAAATAAGTTTCATTCATGGCAGCGTCACAATGAAATAACTATGGAAGCGTATAGGGGCCAATAGCGCGAAAGATGAACAAAAAATGAAATGGGGTTTAACGCCCTACTGTTTTGCTCCTAAATTGGGCTAATGAAGGAGGCATACGCCATACAGTGTGCTATGAGGGAAATTTTGCCCGGGCAGCGGCGCTACGGCCTACTCTTATATCGAATTCCAACTGTCAAGGGATCTTTTACGTGCACCCCAATTTGTACACGGGAAGTCGGTTTTTCATTCCATGCGAACGACTAGACAGCTGTCCTTGTCAGGCCCTCCGTCCTGCATCACGCTGTAAAATCTGGATGAACTTTCTCGGCCAATGCAGGGATCGAACACCCGACCTCCAGGCTAGAGAGCCAGCGTC